TTACATTTAGATTTTTAAGCAATCTTTTGAATTCTCTGTAGTACAAGTGGTGTTTGTAGCAGAAGCTTATACCACAGATGAAATAAAGATGTGAGGTGAACTAAATTTAATCACCACTCCCCCTTACCCCCTGCAAAAATTCAGCTAAGTAAATATTTTTTATCATTATTGTGAAGTGAATGTGTCCCAGCTCATTATTGTGATAAACTTTTAGTTATTTTCTGTGTGCCCTTCCATAGGAATCTGAATTTAACTTGTCTTCAATACCTCTTAAGCATTTTAATAAACTTTATGAATAGCTGAGTGATGATGGACGCTGGGAGGCAAACCGCACAGTTCCAGGTTTTTTGTGAAGTAGGAACACTGTAACTAAAACTGCATGTCTTATTTCAGTTACTTTATCAAATTAGTAGTTACTATAGTTGCAACAGGAATATTTTAGGACTTAAGAGCAGAAGAAAAGATATTTTGTGAAAGAATTTCTTCTTATGAAATGGCCTACTTTGTTGAAAATACTATTACTTAATGAAAAACAGTGTAAGCACAGGATGTTCAGACCACCTACTTTCCTGAAGTTCTACTCAATTGCTTTAAAAATAATTCAGTATCAGTACTGATCGGAATTATGTGTTAATTCTGAAAAGCTGCCTTCATTAGGCAGGAGGCGTTTAAATAACTAGCAATTTCAAATTACTAACAGGTATTAGCATGTGGCTAGTTGTTGCTATTTCTGCATCTGGATGTTTTAGAAACCATAGATGTGTTTCACAGGATGGGTTCATTCAGGCTGGTCTGTGTGTACGTGCAGTATTTGCTTCTGAGAGTCAAATTTACATGTTTTGGTTTGTGGGTCTTTTTTAGGGACAAAGTTCAATTGCCTTAGCACTGCTGCAGTGAAAAAGTGAAATGATGCCTAGATAATGCTAAATTCTGAAGGAAAAAAGCCTGTTCTCTGAGGGTGGTAGGTATTCAGAGGAGCAAATAAATTGCTGAGTAGATGAGGGACTACCTTTTGCATTTTATTTCTTGATGTTGGGCATGGAAAAGCTGTCAAATGAAAGATCAAAACAGTGCCAATCTGAATATTAAATGGGAATATGTGAAGGTCTCCTGTGTGTGGTGGATTTTGCTGAGAATGTTGGCTAATGTTTTTGTGTACTATAAAGGTTTCTAAGGGAGATTTGGGTGGAGATAGTGGGCTAGGGAAGGCCATTCAGAGGTGGGATGCAAACCAGGCCGCTTCTGGACTTCGAATCTTTATGCCAGACCTATTTTGCAGATGTGGTAGACTGTCTCTCATATACAGGAAAAAAACGGTGCTTTGGAAACAACAATTCAGTAATTTTAGATGACACAAATAAGACAAGTCTTCGCTTCCTCTTCCATCCTCACACTTTTGGATTATCAGAGCTGAATTTCCAGAATTCAATCCTGTTAGTGAATTTGCCTTAACTGTTTCTGGTGTCAGTTTTAAATAACAAACCTTTATTTTTCTCTTCCTCTTTTTATTTCAAGGTGATAGCGAAGTTCTGCAGGATAGAATTAATTCTTCCAAATCATAAAATAATGCAATATGTGCCTTTTCTTTATAGAAAAGGTGAGTTTGAGGTATAAAATTGTGTGCCTTGAACATGAATTTGTGTAGCATTCTCTATGTTTATAGTTGTGCCAGACTTTTATGTGGATTTAAAACAAAACAAAAAACCCCACACAGTTTATAGATGGTTAGATAGGATAATTTTTCAGATGAATTTTTAAAATATGTATCATACTTCTGTTTGAGTTTAGAAATGTCAAGAAGTTACTGGAGAAATGACTAGACTGAAATAATTTAGTTAAGAAAAATCCGTTCACTTAAGCTGTAATATGTGGCCCTTTTTAAAGGTGGTAGAAGGATTCAGTTTTTAGTTTTGGGGTTAGTTGGTTTATTTTTCAAGTCAGTCCCTGGAATTATGGAAGTTGAGAGTTGAGGACACAGATCAGAGTTTAATTGTGAAGGTAGCTATTGACAGAACTAGCTCTTTTCCATCATCAAAGGTAATTTTTTTTCATTGCTTTAGAATTAAGTCTATAATAAGTGAACTTGTTTTAATGCATACCTTTTAAAATTCTTTATTGGTTCCTTTAGATGGCTGGCAGGAAAGGTCGCTTGCTTTTGTCTGTGTGCTTCCTAAACCAAAGGAAGAGAGTGATAAATCTGCAGTTGTCTAGTTGGAAGCATTGCAGGTGGTCTAATGCATCCATGTAGGACAAGTGGTCTAGAGTACAAGAAAAGGTTAATCTCATAAAATGGTTATTGAATTGATAATATTTAGCAATTTTTTTAAATGAAATTCCTTCCTACATGTCAGCTGAATGAAGATACACTATATTGGAGAAGTATATCCAGCAGGATATTTTTCTACAATAAAAATGAAAGCATGTCTTACCTGAGTAAATATAATGTATACTATGTATTTAACTTTTTAAAGACATAATGCATCTCACTGTTTGGCATAATTTTACTCTTCATCCCCTCAACTCTGATCATATGAACTTTTTTTTTATTTTAAAGCAATTAGAGGACTGTTGTGCCAAGCAAGATTATAATTCATTCCATAAATCAGGATTTTTTTTTCTTCATGGTTAATACTTATTTTCTTTTTGAAGCCTTGTAGTTCATTTGGCAGACATGATATTTTTACAGGAATGTGCATCTTTTTGTAAATAGACAGTTAAAACTTTGCAATTGGAACTTGTTGTATGCCAATAAATCTTTGTGCTTGCACTCAGTCCAATTTATGTCTTTCTAATGGAATATTTTAACTGTAAATGGCATTGCTGGCATCCTAGAATCACTTCCAAAAAATATTAAGTATTCATTAGCTATGAAAGCACTCTTATCTTTACAAATAAGTCTTTTCATACAAAAATAGTACTATAAAAACTCCAATGCTTGATGCTGCTTCAGATTTATTTTCTTAACTTTTTAAGTTTGATTCCTTAACACTATGCATTCATATTCAATATTATGATGTATATTAGAATTTAAATGTACATATCTCATGTCTGTGTTTCATTAGCGGAAAAAACCCACAAATGAGAGCAGTCTTACATTTGCTTTGTGTCTTAAATTGGACTGTATTAGTTAAAACGGAAGGTATGTTTCATAATTTCTACTTGTATAGACTTGGTAAATATGTTTGGTATATAAGGATCTCTGTGCAACCCTGTTGTGGGGTTACTGTCTCAATTAAAATTCACAAAAGAAACATAGTAGGTTTTTACTGGGAATTTTGTGCTGGGAACAATGTAACAACGTTAATCCCTTAGAGAAGAAATAATTTTGAGACGCTGAAGTATTAAATGCTGTTCCTTTCGCATGTGTTTGACCTTCGCATGAGGGAATAGCTTTTGCCGAAAGCAGCAAGTTCATGTTGGCTGAAACAATAATAAAAAAGTAGGACTTAGCTTTGTCAGTGCTCTGCATAATCTTGTTCTATTTGGGGTTTCTTTCATGAAGCCCCTAAAATGATAAAACTTATCACATCTAGTTTGAAAGAATTATGTTGGTTTTATACTTTAAGCTTTTCATAGTATTTTTCTTATGGGCTTCAAATCCCGAGGGTTCTTCCTCCTCTTTTCCTGGAGCAACTGCATATCTGTTTCTGCTCTTTAGAGCTTATAATTACTATTCTGTATCTGACAAGAGAGTTGGATGTGATTTCCACATCAGTGGACTATTTCTGTTGGTTCTATACACAGATGCCTCTGGATTGTGTGCTGTAATGTCTCTGGAGTTGAAGTGAGCTGGATGGTACTCTTCTGAACAGGCTCGTTAAGGAAGTTTTTTGGGTTTTTTTTTTTGTTCTGTGGCCGCTTGTCCCATGTTATGTGGAAGTGCCATCTACTTCACCATCACAACTTCCAGACCAGAGATCACTTAAGAGCATATAACCTTGCCCTTTTTATCTCTGTTTGTATATGTATCCTTAGACACAAGTATGTATGTGCTATGGAAGTTAACATGTACAGAGGGATAATATTGCCTAATGACAGCTTGTAGTGTCTTGAGCCACCATCTGGGTAATCCAGAAATGAGCTTGATTCAGTTTTTGGATTTTGGTACTTGGTGCCTCCAAATTAAATTCTTAGTTTGATAGTAAAAAGAGGTCAGGCAGTTTTACCTGAGGCCTAGCTGACTGTAGAAGTGTCTGTTATTTGTGCACGCTTTAGATTTTCTTGTTCTTGAATGGCATAATAGTTAGTTATGGAGAAGTGCAGAGAAAACGTTTAGCTCGTACCGATTTGAAATACATAGTTCAGAGTAGAGAGAAAAATGGTCATGAAACTAAATGCTCCTGGAACTAAACTGCAAGCTAACATATTTTGCCTGACTGTCCCACAGAAATATTTTGTGTAGATTACTTCCTTAATTTGTTATGGAGTCAGTGTGTGAGCTAGCAGTTTACCTGTGGGTAGGGAAATAAATGGTGGTAGGACAAAAGACTGTTACTTCATAGCTTTAAATATTAGGAATGCTATAGCATGTAGATGCCAGATTATCAGTAAAGCTGTGATACAAGGTGGTCTGCTGATACCAGGTGGTATTTTAGAAGAGTTTTTTTTTCTGTTTGGTGTCTTTACTGGTTTTTGAATAAATAACCTACTATATTGCAGTAGTCATCTGAAGATTTCTTGTGTTAACACATTTATCTGGTCCTAAAATAGTTTTATTTCATTCTTAAATCTGTGTTTAAAACTATCGCTATATTTTCATCTTTAAATGTAGTGGTTTTGATGCAGCAGCACTGTATTATTATTATTATTGTGTTCATTATGCAAAAATGTCCCATTCCCCCATAACAGAGGAGAAAAAAACCATTTAAATTGCATTATTTAGTAAACAACTAGTAAGCTGAGTCACAAGACTATGTATCTTTTGCAGATAAATTTTTAGTGTATGTTCTCTTTTTAAGGAACACTAATTGCTCCGAAGGGCTTCAGATTGTGTGAAAAAGATGTTTCCTTTGAAAGACACTGAGATGGGTGCCTCCACCTTCTTTGCCTCAGCTCTGCCACATGATGTTTGTGGAAGTAATGGACTTCCTCTGACACCCAACTCCATCAAAATTTTGGGGAGATTCCAAATCCTGAAAACAATCACCCATCCCAGACTTTGCCAGTATGTTGACATCACCAGAGGTAAACACGGTGAGTATCTGTTTAATATGGACACTTTACGTATGTTGTATTTATATTTTGTGATAATATATCTAAAGGTGACTGAGCAGAATATTGCCTTTATAGCACCAGAAAGTGGCTGTCTTCCAGTCTCAATAGTACTGTATGCCTTTGCTGTGACTGGCAGTACTGGTGCTTTTGTTTCTTCTCTTCAGAGTCAAGGCACAGGTTAGTTGTCTGTCCTCTTTCATTGTATGTTATGTTAACTGATAAAAGCGAAGAACTTTCTTCTTTTTATACCTCACTGTAAAATTCAACTTTAATGTGATGACTTGGGTTCTTCAAAGTGTTTTCCGTCTTTAACCTACTGTAACAGTCTTACAAAAATATGTTTGAAATAGTTTGATTTGATTTTGAATCTGAACATTGACTACTAGCTGTTCTACAAGTAGTGGAAGTGGCAAAGTCTAGCTTCTTTAGGGGTTGTCTCACACCCCCATGTAATATCTTATACTTTAGTCTTTTCCTACTTTATAATTGCTGTCTTCAGTGGAACAATTGTTTTGTCTTTTACTCTGTATTCAGAGCCAACCCATCAATCTTTTGGAACATGTGGGACCCCCTGCAAGTCCTGTAGCTGTTTGTTGGGCATGTAGTAATGTGCTAGTTGGCCCATCAGGACTGAAACTCCTGTGCTTGCTCTGAGTCCCTTTTCTCAAACCTGGTGTTACTTTGAGTTTCCTCTCTCATCACCCCAGCCACAGTTTTCTGCAAATTTGTAGATGCTTACTGCTTTGAGACCTCTATTCTTAAGTCAAATCTGACTGACATTGACAGAGGGGTTCAACATTTTTAGGAGGTTACTGGATGAATGAATTGACAGTGCTTTGCACGAACAACCAAGAAAGAAGATCTGCTGTATGTCATAAATGAAAATGGTCCTGATGTCCAGAAGTTCTACAGCTTTAACATTTAATGATGTGTAATTTTCCATACAGTGTATGTCAAAATACTTTAACATCTGCAGGATAGGTAGACTGAGAAGTCTGTAATCCCATTGTCTCATTTGGATTCTAGACTTCTCGTACTTTTTTTTTCCCCTCCCTCCCCCCCAATTAGAGAGACTGGTTGTGGCGGCTGAACACTGTGAAAAGAGTCTGGAAGATTTGCTACGAGAAAGCAAGCCAGTCAGGTAAGGTGTCAAGCTAAACTCAAATCCACTCACCATAATTTTACATGTCATCTGTGGCAAAGTACTGGACTTTTACTAGTCTACATAAATTTTACTCTCTTATTGTTGATCAGGTAAACACATGCCTGAAAGGAGGAGTACTTATTTCCATATGATTCTAAAAGCTAGAAGAGTTATGGGGCACTTACTTACAAGTGGGATACTTTGTAACTCAGAAAATCCTGTCTGTCTTGTTAATAGTAGTTTTGGGTTTTCTTTTTAAAAATAGTCAGACCTATGACAGGATAAATATCTTCCTAATAATTTGAAGACTTTATGTCTGCCAGATGATGAAATACAACTTTCACTAGAAAGGACAGAATTTGGTGTGTGTGTTTTCACGTGGAGAAATGTATTAATTTATTAACTAGAAAGGCGACAGGATGTCAGATACATACACCAGGGTGCTAATAAGTGATTTGAATTTGGGTTGTTACAGCCACTTCAGTAAGGCTTTGATTGAAACCGAGTCCAAAGGCTGGATGTCGAGAGTATTTGCTTTCATACTAGGATGTATGGAATAATTGAGCTGTATCTCTAAACAAGCAAACAAACAAACAAAATCCCCATCAGACTTGTTGCTAAAAGAGTTAACTGTAATTTTTACATCTGTCACTGTAACGTTTGGAACAAAAGAAGTGGTTTCTTGTCCTAAAGAGTATGTAACACAGAAAATGTGAAGAGTGGGAGAGAGACATTATTTCCATTTGGGATAGCAAGGCATTGTAGGCTAACTGGTTATTTCCAGAACACACAAATACATAAATATGAAACACATTTAGAGAAATCCAAAGTCTCTTCATTCTAGTTTCTGAAAAGTTTATAGCAAGCATTAGATTTTATCTCTCTTGATATTCATGCAAGCATAGAGGTGATGATTACTCAGTAAAATAATTGACAAATTTTTGTGTCTTCCCAGTTAACATTAGGCATCTCAGGTGGGCTGTGGTTGATGAGGTACTATCCAGACAGACTTCCTGTGACTCATCGCAAATTAGATTTGTATAAAGGGAGTAATACTGGACCTGTAGCCTTTTGAGCCTTGCAACCCCTAAACAGGATGCTAACAATGTTGTCTGGTGGAGAAATCTAAATGCAAAATGCCCTGTGCCTGTGCGTGAGCTTTTTGTGAACTTAAACTTGTGTTGCAGAGGACTATAGCTTGAGGAATGTTAGGCAAATATGGCTTCCATTTTTTCTTAAGATGAGAGAGGTATTTAAAGATGTTGTGTAAAGGTTTTTTTCATGTGTGATGTACATTGCAGCCCTTCACAGAGTTTTGCATGAGGTTCGTATTGTGCAAAGTTCCAGAAATAGTTAAAGCATCAGAAGCTCTTTTCTTTCCTTTTTCATTCAGCTCTCACACTGTTCTTTGAACATGTGTATCTTGGTGTCAGATGAGAAGCAGCACAGACTGTCTGCTGCCTCTTGACTGTTTTTGAAAAAGCGTGCACATAGCTATTTTAATTTGTTTTGAATTCCTTGATACAGTGTACTTATGTAGATTCTCTGACAACTTCTGTTGCAATTTAATCCTGCGGCCTTAGAATTGCAAGGGGCAAGATGTCCTTTTCTGAGGAGGGAAAAAAATTAGGTTTTATCATATAAACAAAACTTTCTCAGGTAACAGTTGTGATCTGTATGCACATCCATTATGCTCTTCTATATTAGCATGTGTTTTGTGGCATCCAGAAAGATTTTTTGAGACCTTTTTAGATAGTTTGCTAAGGTATGCAGCTTTGGGTTTTTGACAAGCTGAGAGAAGTTATTTAGTTTGTGACAGTTACCTCAGCGATTTGGACTGTGGCTCTGTTGAAAGTAGATGCATAAAGCCTGGCTTTATGTTTCCCACTTGGCTTGAGAGAGTTTTTACTGAAATAAGTTATTTTACTATCTGATCTTTCTTTTAATGAGCCGATTGAGGTTTCTTCAGGAAGTTTTAACACCTGAACTAGGGGGCTAAAATATAGCCTGTATGTATGTTCATAGCTTTAAGAGACGTTAGTGATTCACTTACTGTAAATTACAGCTTTTGCAGTAGTAACTAAAAGATAAATTATGTTGACTTCAAATGAAGTTTCTTGCAAGACTGACATTTTCCCTCTACTTCTATTTTTTTAATGAAAACAGACATTTTTGGTTCTTACGTGAGACCCATAAATTTCAAGAAGTAACTTGGATGGACCAATTCCCAGTTATTAGTTATGTGATCTGTCTATATCAATTACCTTTGGAGGGAAGTACTTGGCTTTTCCCATGTATTATGTTTGCATTGGTTAATGATAGCAAAGATGGTTACACATCCAGAGTTGATGTGTATGCTATTGCAATTAATTTTATAAACTGTTTATGGAATGTGAGAAGCTGCTCTTCTGGTTTCTAGATTATTTTTCCTTACGCTTGCCAGTAACTGAGGTCCTCTGCACCTGTACCACAAGCTGATGTAAAATCAGCAGGAAATCTTCTATTACGTTGGTGCTGAAATTCAAGACATTACATTATGCACTGTCTATCTTTCCATATATACTGGAAAACGGGCCATACAGCTGTTTGGTAGTTATTTGCAGTTAATCTTCCCTGAAGTCATGTATCAAGTCTAGCATGCATTCTTCAGTATATGAATTATGTTTAAAAATAAGGAAATGCAGTGAAAAGAAATGGACCTCTTTGTTCAATTAACCTCAGAGTTTCACCAAATTTTCTAATTGCACATAGGGGCCAAAAGCAGAGCTCTAACCATTTGCCTTATCTGCTCTGTTACAGTGCAGTAGGTCATTTTACTGAGCGTACCACCAAAAATTTTCTGGAACTCAAATTTGTTATATATTCAAGAATTCATTTATTACCTAACAATACTGTGACAGCAGGCTCCAAGAATTACAGAGATGGTTTGTCATTGTCCTCAAAGTTAACATGCTGAACTTCACTTTCAAAGCGTAATGTAAGTAAGTGTTGAGTAATTTATGGCCAAATTACTTTCTTTTTTGAGTGATGCATATTTGGGATCCTTGAAGGAGCATGTGCTGCTGTTAGAACGCTGTCAGGTAAATTTCAGGAACTCTCAAATGGATGAAATGAGTTGGCTCATTGTAATTCTTATCATAGGTAACCAGATGCAGAAGAATAATTTAATACAGCTCTTTTAAGACAGTGTTAAAACAGTGTTTTCTGTGTTTTATTCAGGAGATAGCCATGTAGACATCATAACTACAAGTAACGCTTCTAAAATTGACATTAATGCCGGTTATCTTTACTGTGCTTCCACAGGACATCACAAAGAGCAGGGAAGCTCTTTTGGCGTTGTGTGCCACAGGTAACTCAGGCTGCAACAATGGATAAGAGTTTTAGCATAGGATAGGCTAGAATAAGAATTTTGGGCTGTGAGGTCCCATTTTTTTACCAGACCAGTCTCCATTGTCCTCTGTGTGAGAGATTGTAGGCTGGGTCATTGTTTCCTGTTTGTTTATTCCCAATTTATTGTCCTGTTTGTTGTTACTCTGAATTAGAGAAAGTATGCACTTAGTTTTATTTTATAACAGTCACGTTAGTGCAAAGTCAGCTCTCTGAAGTACGTTCAGGAGTCGGTTAAATTTTTAAAGGGCTAGGAATTTATGTAGATAGTCAAGCAAAAATAGTAAATACCTTATTTAAGCTCATAATAGTTAAGTGCTGTTCAGAGATTTGAAAATGTGCATCAGTCTGGCTGGCTTCCTCTGTGTCGTCTTTTGCATGCAAGGATTTTTTTCTTGTGAATGAATTGAAAATAAGTCACAAAAAATTATGGTAGGTAGAAGTTTTATACTTAACAGTCTCAAGAGTAGTTTTCATGTTGTGGCAGTCAAAATTTCACTAGATTTTTCAAGTTGCAACTTCTTTTAGCACTGTGGATAGATACTACAGACCAGAATGTAAGATGTGAATTTATTTTTAAGGTTTTCCATCTTTTAAACACATTTACAACTACTCCTTTGGGATACCTTTTCCAGACAGTGTTAAAGGAGTTATTTTCTCTGCTCCTGTGCTGTTATAATAGGCGTTGTGAGCTTTTCCTTTTATGTCACGGTTGAAGTGTGTTTCTTCTTTGAAGTTGGGCTGCACTTGTATTCATAATAATAAAAATGCCAGCAAATACTGACGTTCAGCAGACTTTTGGCACCTACAATAGAGTTTCTGGATTGGTCTTCAATTTGTGATTGGGCAGTCTAAGCTTATCCCTTCAATAAAATATAGTTGTCATATGTTTTGAAAGTCATGGTTTTGCAAAATTACTAGTGAACCATCAGAGATACAAGGTATAGTTTGTTATACATGGAACATTTGATGGGAAGCAGACTGTGTCTGCAGCTGTTTACTAGTTTGGAGAAAACATGATCTGACTGATTCGGATGAGTACATTTTATTTGGCTATATTAAACAGTTGTCTGCTGATTGATTGGATTAGATTTCTTTATGCCATCCTTGCTGTTAATGTGCTTTTGGCAAACTTGAAGTGAAACTACGTTACAGAAGAGATTATTGGGCAGGGGGAAAAAGCAGTTTCTGAGTAGCCAGGGATTCTTCAAATATATTGTAAGACAGGTGCAAGTCATCAAAAGGCTGTAGGCTATACATGGTTTGACTTGAAGAGCTGCATATGAGCAGAACTTCAAGGGCTCAGTGTATTCTGCTTTGAATCAAGTCTGTGTTGGAATTTCACATGAGATATCCATATGTCATAATGAGGCTGCATTTAGCAAGGATAAATGGTGAAGTAGTAAAATGAAGTAGCATTAATAAACAAACTTAAAATTTTTTTTTTCCTAAGCATGTGTTGAGAGTCTGTAGTTTGGGCATTTAGTGGCTGTAGAGTTTTCCTTTAGCTTCTTGCCAATGATTTACTTCCAAAGCTATGATGAAAGATTAGCCATTAGCCCAGACTTGTGTATATGTTGTCAAATGATGCTTTTCTTCATATAGGAGTA